TATACACACACACGCACACACACACACACACACACACACATATATATATATATATATATATATATATATTTCTCTCTGCTTTTTCACTAAGAGATAATTAAGGAAATAATATTGAAATATAATATAAGATTATAAACATCTAAATAAAAGTGGGGACAAAAGGGAGATGTTTCCTTTACATATTGTTATAGATTTTTTTTTCTACTTATTTTTTTTCAATCATTAAATATTAAATTTATATACTTTTATTTTAAATTTTTTAATTATATTATATTAGATTTCTATAATTTATTTTATTTTTATCTTATCATATTTATATTCCCTCCCTATAGCAGTGAAATAGGTATTATCTATAATCTGCTCTTTTAATTAATCACAATTTATATATTTATTTATTTTTATAAAATTCACTTCATAATTGTTGATATTTTTAATTAACCATTCACTATTTTATAATTTTTTTTATCATTTTAATTGTTTTAAAAATTCAAAAACCCAGAGAGTATCTTTTAACACTAGTAATAAGCTGATAAAAAAAAAGTAGGTATTGTAAGTGTACACAATATTTTGTATATATAAATTTTGCAGTTAAATCGCGTGGTAACAAAGGTGGGTAAAGTGGGAATGCGGAAGAAGTAATTAAGCTGAGAGAAAAGAAGAACATGACATTGGATCCGCGTAGGTAATGTTTAAAGAAAACAGAGACAGAGTTCGGTAGTAATGTCAGAGGTTGAGTTTGAACCTCAACATCCACGCCTCTTCATCCCCAACTTCCTCTCCCTCAACGAATGCAGAGTTCGTTTCTTACTCTATTTCTTTCTTCGCTTAAACCTTTTTGTCTTTCTTTTTACTCTGGTTTTGGTGAAGGAATTGGAATTCATCCACAAGAGTTGCAGCACCGTCGGTTACAGACCCAATGTTTTCTCCACCACTCTCTCTCATCTCATTGCTACCAACTCTTCCCATTTCATCATTCCTTTTGTTCCCATCAGAGGTAAAACCTACCCTTTCACCCATATTACATCAAAACATCATTTTCTCCCACAATTTCACTATCTCTTTGGAATTTATTCCAATCAAATTGGTGTCTTCTCTTGTTCTGACTTATTTGTTTGATTCATTTATTTATTTGCTTTCTAATTTGGTGGCAGAAAGGTTGAAGGAGAAGCTAGAACAGTTTTTCAAATGTGAGTATGAGCTCTTCATTGAATTCACTGGTTTAATCAGGTTGGTTACTTTACCTCACTTCAATGTTTAGTTTTTATTCTCTATAAATGAGCATTGAGCATTTTTTACTATCTTGTCTAATGGTACTATGAATCAGTTGGAGCAGAGGAGCAAGCATTGGATGGCACAGTGATGATAACAGGCCCTACCTCAAACAACGCCACTTCTCAGTGCGGACTATCCAACCCCTTTGTTAAGATATTGAATTCCTGTTGTATTATAATTTAAACTCTTGCCCTCAACTTTTCTCTTTTGGTAATACCATGAAAGGCAGTGTGCTATTTGAATACTTATGGCAAGGATTTCAGTGGTGGACTCTTTCACTTCCAGGATGGTGAGCCTGCATCAATTATGCCAAAGGCTGGAGTGAGTTTTCCCTGTTTCTTTTATGTAATTTAATCTGCTGTTAACATTCTAAAGGTGGCAAAATATGTTCTGTGAATTTCATAATTTAACTATAATATTTTCATTTATATTTCGATGTAGGAAACGAGCAGTCTTTTCACTGTGTTTGTCTTTTTTGAACTTTTGTTTTTCTATCACAGGATGTTGTAATGTACACAGCTGATGACCATAATGTTCATTCTGTTGACGAGGTACATTCAATGTACTCTTTTCTTTTGTGCCTATTTTTATTGGTTGTACACATTTAACTTTAATATCTCACTGTGTAAATCAGACTCAAATCTTCATTGCCTCTTCCGTAATTCCTAAGCCCAAGAAGAAACAATCTTTGTGAACTAACATGATTTGACTTATATATTTTCGTCATTTCTCTCATCAATCAACCTTAATCAAAAGTTGATCTTGATTATTGTGATGCCATCAATTCATTTCCCTAATTCAAACATGATTCATTTCCCTTTATCATAAGCTTTATAACCATAATTATTATCAAATAGGTTTTTGCGGACATTGATATGAGGGTGACTAATTCTGCATGAAATTGAATGTATAAAGCATTATCCTAATTCTTGATGATGTTATAATGTTTTTGATCACTGGGAGTGAAGCAATCAATACCAAACCAGTCGAGCTTATGCATTTCTTATTTAAAAAGATCTATAAATAAATAATTGAGGTTAGCACAGGCTCCTCCTTAAAGTTGTCTTTGCCACAACTTTATGTGATCAAAACATACTTGGGTAGTTATATCACAGCAAACCTGAGTTAATACTACCCAGCAGGGAGGACTCCACTTGATTTGAATATTTCATCTTTTGACATTTAGATTTCATCCTTATTTGTAAACTTTTCTTTTGGTTAGAACTATGCTTATCCCTTGACTGGTGTGGACCTTGATATGATATTATGATTAGAATATGGAGAAAATCATCATTTGAGTCTTTCCTTCCAGTCGCTTTGTTACATTCAGGACTTATTATTGTATATGCAAAGAGCCAAAGACCAAATTCACTTTTCTTTTTCCTTTTGTAATGAGAAATCAATCTTTGTTGATGGATACGGAATGTTAGCTGATTATTGAACTTTTCAAGTCTCCTTTGTTTATCAGCAAAGAGAAAATTATCAAAATTTCATGGTGCTGTTAGTTTGTTTCTTTAAGATGCCATTTTCAAGAGTTTAGCATTAGGTATAACCATCTTTTCTTGTATCCTTCCCCAACATGGTACGTTTATTATGTAGTAATATCATATTGATTCCTTAAATGAGTCGTCTAAAATTTAAATTTTATCCTCAAAAGATAGTTTACATGTATTGACTACACTTACCATATAAATATGTTGTACGAATCATTCATAACATGCATAAGAAACTATCTCTTTCAGTTTCGACATTCCTTTTAATAATTTTTTATTAAAAATGATAATAGAATAAAATAAAGACCTTTTTGTTTCTTTTGGAACAAAATATGCAGATGGAAAACTGTCATATGTTCTTTTGATGATTAATAGAGATTAAATAAATTTCAGGACTGATGTAGGCAACGGTTGTAATATTTTCTTTCCTGAAGGATTAAATTGATGCGAAATCATTCCTTTAGGGAGAAAATCGTAGTTCAATGATCAATAAATATATGGTCATCTTAAATCTTTCTGATATGAAGTTATCTTTGACAGATAACTGAAGGAGAAAGACTGACACTTGCTTTATGGTTCAGTCGTGATGGCTCCCATGATGAGGATGTGAAGCTTATTTCTCTTCTATCACAACACATATTACATAAGAACATGGCTGATTCATACCTTCCGTTGCCAGCATCCAGTAATATGTACTGGTTTTCTCAGGACCAAGCTTCTGATTACCAGTTTGGTTTTAATATATGTTGGGCTAGACTGCATGTTCTTGGATATGACATATATATTTCTCAAGACAGTGGCATTGAGTTTGATGTCTCTGAATTACTGGTAAAGCCAGTGCACTTAGTGAGGGGAAATGAGTTGCTAGATCAGGAATTTGTCAATATTATGCATGCACTTCAGGTATTTTAAAAAATTCTATCTTAGTTTTCCCCTTGTTTATATTGAAAGATATAACAAATGCATATAATGATACATTTAAAGGATATGAGCAGTGACCATGATTTTTGGTCTTCTTTCTCACCCTTGACGAAAAATAGGTTTTTGAATGCCACTGATAGTCAGTCTTGCAATGCTGGCAATGAAAAAGAAAACTAACTTGAAATGGAGTTTTCCCAAGGGTAGAATCCTGTATCCGATGGTAGATTTTTTTTTTTTAATTAATATTATTATTATTAAAAGAGATTTGTTAAGACACAAGACATTGAGATGATTATAAAGATAAGTAGATTTAATTGATGAGAACTATGTATGTGTAGAACAGTCGGACCATACATTAATATATATGTCGGAAATTCTTGCTATTTAATATGCGGAGAATGCTTCCTAAAATGTATAGGTTTAGGCGTCTAGCTGTCAACCTGAGTGCATTACATTACATAGGACTTTCTATATCTTATGCTAAAAGAATAGAGCTTAAATGTAGTACATGTTTTTGAACTGTTGTTGTCAAAGTTGTCTCATGTTTGGATGTGTTTCTTTGTAAGTAGTAACACTTTCAGCATGAGAATAGAAGGGATCTTAAAAAGTTAAACTGGATCCCCCATGTTTCTTTAAGAGGCTTAAGAATCGACCAATCTTTTCTCCGTAATTTGCATCTTATGATGTAATATGGTCCCTTCATTTTTCTTTAACTGCATTTACAACTGTTGTTTATGCATCACGGATTTCTTGCAATTTATAATCTTGATTGATTTTGGAAAAGTTTCTGCAACTACTCTGATTCATGTTCTTTTCCTGAACAGGTTGTCCATTTCTTTTGTTGGAAAGGATCAGCTTTACAGAACAAGGTGTCAAATGTAGACTCCAAGGTAGTAAAAGTGACAGATATGCAGAGAGAGAAAATAAGTGGTCTGAATTCCGTACTTTTGAATGATGATGATTTTGCATCGAGAGTTTTTGGTTGTATGCCTTCCGAAGAAAATGGATGCATTTGCTTTGACTGGTCAGGAATTATGGCTGCAACCGCTGCTTGGGAAGATTATGCATCGAACTTAAGCAAACAAATTCATTTACAATTGCCTAACTGGAGAATGCATGAAGCTATATATGATGTGCAATTAGATGAATAATATCCTTGATCAATAATTCCAAGAAGAAGTAACCACCTACAATTGTGTGCTTGGGTTTAATATTTGGGAAAAGGCATCGGTGAAACAACTAGAAAATAGTTTGTGAAGGTTTGCTTTGACAGCATTATTCAAGTCAATGTGCTTTATGATAGTGTTAAGACTTGAGACGAAGCTGCTTGGAGAGAGATGAGAAATGAAACTAACGGATATCTCAAGTTTTATGCATAATTGATGTAGAATGGGTTGTTAATCTCTGCTATTATGATTGGGAGTACCCTGCAAAGTGGAGCACTTTTAGATTTTTCTGCATCAATACTAGTTGCAAACACTACAAATTACTGTACACATTTGTTTCTCAAATATCTGTTGCACGAGTTTGTGTGCAATATTACAGACTGAAAGCTCATTAACACTTTCTAGATGCTCTTTTTCTTTTGCCTTTGTATCACAAATAGTAAATTTACACACTTTTAGCTTATTATATCCATGCTGCTACATTACGGTCTTTGGATATGCTCCATGTATGCAAAGTGTTGCCATAAACATCATAAAATACGATATCTACGTTGCTTTTGGTGATCTGCATAGACATGAAACCTTGTCCATCATAATACAACTTAAGTTCTTCCAGGTTCCACGGCTTGACATCGCTTGACCATGCCTTTGATCCACCTCCACTTGTTAGAAAGTGAATTCCACTGGATTGTTCATGCAAACCACGGAAACTTGTATGTCAGAACAGAGATGATGTTGAAGCTAACCATTTGAGAGTAACATATGCTTACCTGTTTTTGTCAATTATGTGCTGCAGGCAGTGGTCATGTCCATTTATGTATGCATCAACATTGTTTGCCTGGACCATTAATTAAGAAACTAGTCAGAATCGTTAATTTATCATGCAATGATATCAACAATTATAATGGAATTTTGAAGTTTTAATAAGGTTTAGCTAATTGTTTAGTTATGAACCTGGTTGATTACCTAGTTACACCGTGTATCCTCTCTAACAAGTACTAAAGGGAGCATTTGGGAATTAGCTTGCAAGATATCTTGGTATCTAAGATGTACATGGTTGAAATGCCAACATAGCGGCAATGCCGTTGTCATTACCATGTGTACAAAGTAGGCAAGTATCAACCATGTATTTTTTGAATCATATTTATTTGCCATACTAAAAACATGAGGAAGTTTAGGGTCTGTTTGATTTTTTGAAAATATTTTCTATTTTCATTTTTTAATTTTGAACTTTAGAAAATGTGTTTGGTTTAACTATTTTCAATAAAAGTTTATAAAATATTTTTCATATGAACTTTGCAATCAAAGTGTGAATAATAAATCCATCTCTATATATATTAAATAAGAAAGACTATCTTATATTATAGTGTTTTTTTTTTTTTTTTTTAAAGTTTATCTTCAATAAAACTGTAAAAGAGATTTTAGGTTTTATGCTTCAATTTGAGATTTTTTAAGGATTTTTTTTTTAATTTTCTTATCCAATTCTCTTTTTAATTATCACATTTATTTATAAATTAAATTTTAATATTTTTAAAATAAATTATCAATAATTAAAAATAATTTTATGTCACAATATAAATTATTTACCATAAATTTAAGATATGATTTACATGTTTAAAAATACCTATTTATATAAATTTTAAATACAATTTATATATCCAAATATAATATTTTTGTATATATAATTTATTATAAATTTTAGTTAAATATAATAAACATTTAGCATGTACAAGCTAAAATACCAATTTATAATATACATCTTTAATAATATACAAAATCATCATCTTATGTATCTGCAATAATAGATATGAATATATATATATATATATATATATAAAATTACATCTTAAGTCTCAAATAAAAATATATATAAAATATTTTCATGTGTACATTTCTAGAAATACTGAAAACAACATTTTTCTGTTTTCAAATTTTGGCTTCTTTTGAAAGTGTTTTCTAAAATTAAAAACTAAACACATTTTCATGTGTGTTTTCTATTTTCTTTAAAAATGAAAACAGAAAAAATCAATCCAAACAGGCGGATAAATAGGAGTAATTATGAGTATGAATACGAGTAGTTATGAGTATGAGAATGACAATGGAGCAAATGCTCTTATTTGTTTAAGTGTGTTTGGCTTACCTCTAAGATAGGAACGAGCAATTGTTTGAGGTCTTCGGTGTTACCATGATGTCCAGCACTATTGATGGTATGATGACCCACCACCATCTTCCATTTTGCCTTTGATTCAACCAAAGCTGAATCAACATCCTACACAAATATTCCAACAACACCCCATAATTTCCCTCCATGTGCTAATGTAAGATCCACTGATAAAAAATTAATTTCTTTCATATCTTGATGTTACATTTTCCTAAACCATGTCATAATTTTCAATAATGAATTTAATACGAAAATGACCGCATATGTTTTTCTGGATCTCTCTACACTATTTCTTGACAAGTCAACAAATTTGAATTTGTTAATTGTAACCAACCTTCAAGAGTTCTGAAAGGTAAGTTGCGCGAGGAAGTACACCATCCCAGTCATAGGTATGCTCTTTTGGGTCCGTAAAGTACTCCTCTACAAATGGAGTCGTGTCCACAAAGAAAAATTCCACAATTTCTATACAAATAAAGGGGAAAAACACAATAGTTATAAGGTTTCATGCAATAAGTGAACACTTCTACTATTATGCTATCATCGCAAAACATTTTAACATCAATTATATAAAATACACGTGTGAATTGACTTATTTTGTGATTAAAACAGCTAATAATCACAATCTTATTAGGGAACTTACGAGAACCTTTTTCCTTTAAAAATAATCAGAATCAAACATGCATTAAACAGATTTATACCTCCATTGAGAATAAAAGATCTCAGGCAAAGCCATCTGCTATCTTTTTGTCTTAGAACGGGACTTAATTGAGCCTCAACATCACCTCTATAGTCATGGTTACCCAGAACTGCCAATAAAAAAGATCAATTTGTTTATCAGTAATTAAATTTATCAAAATTGGTACACCATGTTAAAGTATTTGTAGTGTTAATTATTTTCCATGAATGTTGAAACTTCATTAACTTACCACTGTACCATGTCTTTTGCAAGCTCGGGGCAGTGTAGATGTCGACGAATGACTCGTAGAATGCTGGATCATCAACCCCTTTTAACCCATCTTCGTAAAAATTGTCGCCAGTGGAGATCACAAAATCTATATTTAGTTTCTCCCCCACAATTCCCATCTAACAAATAAGCATGAAAATATATAGTTACTACTCGATGCCTCCAGAAAAAAAAGAAAAAAAAAAGAAGAAAATTTCACACTAATAACTTCCAAATTAGAAAGTTGATATGAACTAATTTCAATTATATATGGAAAAAAATGTTTAATTCTTACACTTTGGTCAAACATGGTTAGTATCTCTATACTTTCATATACATGGATTTGATTTTCAGTTTAAAAACATGTTGATTAAAAACATGCTAATTAATAATGATTTTCACATTGGAAGGTTGCTAATGCATGTGACCCTTCAGAAGAGCAACCATTTACCATTGCATAATTTTATTGCTGAGGTTTGGACCCCTCCTCTGATTAGAGTTATCAAATGCAATTTGTGATGCTTCCTTTTTCCAGCCAAAGTATTCATGGGTTATGGAACATGCTTTAAAGATGAAAATGGTAATATTTTTACAAGAGAAAACTTCTTTCGTGGCAGTTATTATAACAATTAGAGAAGGAGACGCTTATGCTATTTTACAATTTTTCATTTGATTCACAGATAAGAATTTATCCAATATCATCGTTGAGTTAGATTGTAAATTAATTGTGAATTAGATTCATAAAACGAAGGATGATATTTTCAAAAGAATAATGATTCTCAATCAAACTAAGGAGTTATTGTCTTTTCATCATTCTATTACTATGCATTATAGTAAGAGAGATTAAGATGATTGTTCATTCTTTAACAAGAAGTTTTGTCTCCTTTGATATTAAGACTATTCGTATTGTAATTGTTTATTGTATTCTCAATATTTTATCAATGGAGAGAATCTAAATTTTTTTGCAGTAAAAAAGGAATATTAATAACTCGAGTATGACTATAATTAGTATTTTATAGTGTCATCATAATATCTTCTACATAATATAACAATGCACAGGAACAGTTTTTAATTATTTTCTTTTTAAAAATGTATAAATAAATTGTACAAATTAGAAGTGGGTAGATCGAAACAATTAGGTGTTTATATTATATGTAGACAGAGTTAACCGAACACATGGGTCTATCATAGGCTCTAGAGGGATGGAATTAATCACAATTTGCTCATGGTCATTGAAGACTAGATCCAATGAGAAAGACCTATTTGGAATATGCTTATGCCTCAGAACCCTTGAATCATTTCAAGTGACGTGCATTTCAATTTAAATAATTACTAGCATCATTAGTTATGTCCTATTGGAATATGCCTAGGAATATATCTATGTCCTGTGTGTTCTATTGGAATATGCGTGGGATTATCTCCAAATTAAAGATCCAAGGTGGAATAAAAGGTGGTTGGCCATGTCGCACTGATGTGTGCACGTGGGTCATTATAAACCATTGGTTTCACAACCTCAAAAACTCCAAGTGAGTGTACACTTTATTAAAAGGCTTCATATTTTCAAAGGAAATTACAAGAGAAAGTTTCCTTGTTGGACCATAGTTTTGGTAGAAAAATAATCAGATGCGTAAATTAAGTGGGACCACCACTAGAAAAAGGGAAAAGGTAGGTGAGTCATGAGATGCCATGTATGTTGCTTGTTCCTATGTTTTTTTTAATAACATTATTAAGTAATTAGTGGAAGACTGATAAGCCTATAAATTAGTGACAGATAAAACAGGGTAATGGGTAACGTACGTACACCCTATTTTGGGGTGGATGATGAGGTAGAAGAGAACTATGGAGAAAAAAAAATGATAATTAATATGATAGGAAACAAAGCGTAAGATAATTAAAGAAAATCTGTGATAAAAAAGAATACGAAAAATATAACTTGATAAAGTTAACCGAAAAAGTAAGTATATAATAATAGTAAATTAGTAAACCGTTTAAGTTAAGAGATCAATGGTTGAAATTCTATCAGCATCTATGCAAAGCATATGGAATATACCAACAGCTGTATATCTTGATGACTCATTTTTAATTAATTAATAACTGTATTGAGTATCTATTTGTAAAATTTTATCATGCAAAAAATTAGGTTATGAATTAAACTACAAGAATTTTATAGTGCGTGGAATAAATTAAAAGAATTTATTTTATTTATAAAAATGATTAAGATAAATTAAAAATTATAAAATTGATACAAATGTTGTTATGAACTCTGTAAGTTTTAATCCAATGTCATTTAGTTAAAATTAAAATATTTTCTATATTATTATTAAATTCACAATAAGAATCTTTGTAAGCGCTTCTGGGGTCATGTATAATGTTTGACCTTTGACGAACATCGACCTATATGAAAAAAAAAGAATGGTAGATACACGGAAAACTGGTAGTTGCTCATTAAATTCAGATATATTTTTCCTATCTATTTCAATTCTCAATCGATTTTGAGTTTGGCTAATCGACACTCATGCTTAACATCGTACCTACTCAATCAAAATCCTTGAGATTTAAACATGCATGTAGTAAGATTGATAAGTAATATATTTTAATAAATTAAAGTAGAGCTAATTATATATGTTCGATATATTGTGATGAAATGTATTAAATATAAAAGAATAAATGAAGTGGAATAATGAAACTGATTAAATGCAATGAATGTATTTTTGTGGCCAGTTCTGGAAAAAAATGCAGTCCGTACGTATTGTTAGCATCATCGTTGGTTAGAGATAGGCATGCAAAGAGAAGGAAGAATAAGAATGAAAACCTGATGGGCGACGAAAGATTGATTGTGAGTTCCTTTTCTTCCCCAATCTCCAAGGACCAAAACATTAAGAGATTCTTCTGGTTTTGCATGGTGTTCGAATCTTGGTAACTCGCCAATTGAAGGACTTGTTAACAAGCAAAACACACCAGCCACCAACATAACCATGCCATGCTTCAAACATGATGAACCCATGCTTTTACTAACCACCTTCTGCAACACACACACACAAAGATCGAATGCACTTTTAAGAGACAAGACTCTATCTTTATATTTATACACACGACATACACGCTACTGTTAATTAATATATCAAATTATGATAAATAAGTGGACTAGATTAATTTCATTATTTTATATAAAATAATATTTAAGTTATCAAACAGAACACTTATAGAACTTGTTTTTATTCTTTATTCTTTGTCAACGCTTGGTTTTTTTTTATTTTTATTTTTATTTTTTTTAATAAATAACTTCCCTAACGAATCTGAATCACATTACATTAAAATACTAATTAAAATTTAAACTAAAAATAAGTTTAATGAAAAGATGTATTTTAACGTAAATGAGAATTTTGACAACCAAAAAAAACGTAAATGAGAATTAAAACATGGAGAATCTTGGTCACGCAAAGAATTGCGTATACGATATGTTTATCGATGGGAGGTTTTGAAGATATTCTTTTATACCAACAGTACAACTCATTCCTATTTTCCATTTCCTTCGGAAGGAAAGGAAATAATTTTCCCATATTTTTTTTTTAATTCGATTCTCCCATTTACTTCATTTCACTTTTACTTGTAATTTAATCAATTATTATAAATGAAGATTTTATTATATAAGTGTAACGTAGCGGACATTCTCCGACTAACGGGTTTCGATCCCAGTCGGGGCACGATCCTACATCCTCCCTGGTGGTAAGCCGACTTGGCTCTCGGTTGGCTCTTTCTTGATTGGTCACTCGGTTAACGCCCGAGTGGAGGCTCGCCGCAAATTAGCTCGGCCATAACCCGACTACCCCCTCAACCATAATCCGACTACCAACTCGGCCAAAATCCGATCTGACCCCTCTACATGGGTGCACTCGGTCAGAATCCGACTTGTGTGCTCCAACTCGGCCAAAATCCGATCTGACCCTCTCACATAGATAATGGTCCGATATCAGGGACAAAATCTCATCTTTAATGACAAAGTATTCTCTAGGTTAGACGGTTGAAGAAATCCCTACATTCTCGGGGCCCAGGAGGCCCATCAGCAAGAAACGATAAAGCCAAAAACCCTAGAGTTGAGAAGCCAGATTACACTTTTGAATGCTCTAGCTCTAAGGCACGATCTAGGAAAAAGCCCTAGTCCACCCTTTGGCCGGAACATTTTGGCGCCCACCGTGGGGCTACGGTGAAACTTTTCCTACGCCCCAAGTCATACAGAAAGACCTACACTTTACCATGGCGAGAGGCGGCAACAACAACAACTCTCAACCCCTACCATGGAGGAGATGATGGCCATGATCAATGGCCTACGGGAGGATAATGCACGCTCCAGGGAGAGAGAGGAGGCCATTCAGCGCGAGAACGAGGAGATCAGGAGGCGAGCGAATGAGTTACAGGCCAGAATAGAGGCCAACACCAGAACGTTGGAGGAGGATGTCATGATGGAAGTCCCAAGGGATTTTTGGCCTTTCTCGGAAGCCATAGAGGTCGAGGCCATCCCTAGGGATCATCGAATACCGCAGGTCGAACCTTTCGATGGATCGCAGGATCCCAGTCAACATCTAACGGATTTTCGAGCTCAGATGTTGATTTGCGGAGGGAGCATGGAAGTCCGTTACAAGCTGTTCATGGGAACGCTCAAAAAGGCGGCGCTTGATTGGTTTAGTGGCCTCCCCGACTGATCCATCACCGACTTTGACGTCTTCAGTCGGCTTTTTATGGCTCAATTTGCTGCTAATAAGAAGAAGCCACCGATCACGTCAGATTTATTTGATCTTAAGCAGCAACGAGAGGAGTCATTGAAGGATTTTCTGCAGAGATTCAATGAGGTTGCTCTAAGGATAGCATCGTTGGATGAGAGAATGGCGGTCATCGCGTTTCAGAAAGGTTTGAGGTCCGAGCCTTCGACATTGCACTTGAAAGGGCGAATTGCCAAACAATGTCGGAGGTGAGAGCTTTCGCCTTGAGCCACATCAAGACGGAGGAGAACCAGATCAGTAAAAGGGCAGCTGAGAACCGAGAAGCCGGGGGCAGCAATAAGGAGGGGAACAAGCATCTCTGACCGCGACCAGACTGGAGCAAACGACGTGACCGGTACAACGTGAAGGACGACAATTATAGGCAGGCCGATCACGGTGGTCGGTCAAGGGGCGAGTGGACGCGCAGAAATGAAGAAGAGAAGTTTACTCCACTCACTGTACCTAGGCGACAGATACTCCACGATGTCAATAGCGCATCGTTGTTTGAGTTCCCGGCGGCGACGGAGCGTCAGTTGGGCCCTTTCAAAACCGATTGGTGTGAGTTCCATAGGACTCACGGGCACTCAACTGAAAATTGTTTTGTTTTGGGAAGACAGATCGAGCGCTTGATCAAGGAGGGACGACTGAAGGAGTTTGTGGCGAGAAAGCAGGAGGGAAGCTCGTCAGATAGGCGACCCAGGCGCACGCAAGATGACACCAGGAGGGATAGGCGTAGAGAGAGAACTCCTCCCAGAGACGCGCCAGCAAAGGTGTCGGAAGCCCATCAGCAACCCATCCATGGGGATTTCAACACCATCGCAGGAGGCTTCGCAGGTGGGGGAACTACCTCGGCAGCCCGAAAAAGGTACACTCGGTCAGTGTTGACGGTGTCGGAGTTCAGGCGACCATCTCAGCCTGAGATTTCGTTCTCAGACGCGGATTACGAAGGAGTAGCCCCTCATGAGGATGACCCCGTCGTCGTATCGGCGATTGTCATGGGGTACAATGTGAAGCGCGTGTTGATTGACCAGGGAAGTTCCGCAGACATTTTATTCTGGGAAACCTTTGAGGGGATGAAAATACCTAACGACCGACTAATTCCTTATGCAGGGACTCTAGTTGGTTTTGCAGGAGACCAGGTCATCGCAAGGGGATACGCCGATCTGGAGACGACCTTTGGCCAGGGAGCTCAGATGAAGACGGTGCTCGTTCGGTATTTGGTGGTCGATGCTCAGTCATCGTACAGTATACTGATCGGCAGGCCGACTCTGAACAAGCTGGGAGCGATAGTGTCTACTCCCCATCTGAAGGTAAAGTACTCGTTGCCGAGTGGTGTTGTGGGGGTTCTCAGGGTGGACCAGGAGGTTGCTCGGAAATGCTACGGGGATAGTTTAAAGGCGCGAAGGCGACTGTACACTAAGCGGGTAGAGAAGGAGGTCCACTCTGTCGAACTGGATCCTAGAATGGGTCAGTTCGACCACCGACCCGCCCCAGCAGAAGACGTCAAAGAAGTGGAGGTAATGGAAGGGAGAAACGTGAAGATAGGTACCTCTTTGACTCCCGAAGACGAAGAGAAATTGGTGAGGGTCGTAAAGGACAATGTGTCGGCATTCGCATGGCACTCCAACGACATGCCTAGAATTGATCCAAATTTCTTGTGCCACAAGCTGGCCATAGACCCTAGCGCGAAGGCAGTGATCCAAAAGAGAAGGAAGTTTTGCGAGGAAAAACGAAGGGTTATCGCGGAAGAGACGCAGAAGTTAGTGATGGCAGGACACGTCCGAGAAATCCAATATCCGACCTGGTTGGCAAACGTAGTCATGGTGCGCAAGAGCAGCGGGAAGTGGAGAATGTGTACGGACTTCACCGACCTTAACAAGGCCTGCCCAAAAGACTCGTACCCGCTACCGAACATAGACTGCCTGGTGGATGGGGCATCGGGATACGAGTTGCTAAGCTTCATGGATGCCTACTCGGGGTACAACCAAATCCGAATGCATCCCGCAGACGAGGACAAGACCGCTTTCATAGCCGATCAAGCCAATTTCTGATACAGGGTTATGCCGTTCGGTCTGAAGAACGCAGGGGCGACTTATCAGCGACTGATGGACAAAGTCCTTGTGAATCAACTAGGACGGAATGTGGAAGCTTACGTAGATGACATGGTGGTGAAGTCAGAAAGCGTCAGTCGACACTTTGGCGACTTGCAGGAATTGTTCGACACCATTGGCAAGTACCAACTCAAACTGAATCCTGAGAAGTACTCTTTCGGTGTCCAGGCGGGAAAGTTCCTCGGTTTCCTGCTGACTCACCGCGGCATTGAAGCGAACCCGGACAAGTGCTCGGCGATCATCAACATGAGGAGCCCATCTACGGTGAAAGAGGTACAGCAATTGACGGGAAGGATGGCTTCTCTCTCCCGATTTCTATCAAGAGCAGCGGATAAAGCGCTGCCTCTTTTTCAATGTTTGAGGAAGAACGACCGGTTCGCTTGGACGACCGAGTGTGAAGAAGCCTTCTCCGAGCTCAAGAAGTCATTGGCATCCTCGCCGATCCTGACAAAACCACGACTAGACATGCCCTTGTTGGTGTACATCTCGGCATCCGACCGAGCTGTCAGTTCAGTTCTGGTGCAAGAGCAAGAAGCTTCTCAAGTTCCTATTTACTTCGTAAGTAGGGTCTTGCAGGGAGCAGAGACAAGATATCAAAGAATCGAAAAGCTGGCCCTCGTGATACTGGGATCACTGCGAGGAAGTTGAGGCACTACTTCCAGAGTTACGAAATGACAATTCGTACTGATCACCCGATTCGACAAGTCTTGCACAAACCCGATCTGTCTTGCAGAATGATGAAGTGGTCGGTCGAGTTATAAGAATTCTCTATCAAGTATGAGCCGAGAGGAGCAATCAAAGCTCAAGCATTAGCCGACTTCCTAATAGAATTGACCCCTCCGGCCAAGGAGAACACAGTCAGTGAAACCCAGTGGATTCTATCGGTTGATGGTGCTTCAAATCTAGGAGGAAGTGGAGCTGGAATTGTCTTGGAAGGCCCGGGGGGAATACTACTAGAGCAGTCAATGCGATTTGAGTTCCGAGCAAGCAATAACCAGGCCGAGTACGAGGCATTGTTGGCCGTCATGGCATTGGCGAAGGAAATGGGGGCGACGAGTTTATCAGCACGAAGTGACTCTCAATTGATCACGGGGCAGGTAGCAGGCACTTTCCAAGCAAAGGACCATCAATTGGCAAAGTACTTGGAAAAAGTCAAGCTCCTATCGGAAAATTTCCGGGAGTTCACACTTAACCACATACCCCGAGAGCAAAATTCG